CCACACTATGTTCACAAACACCCTTGAGCAGTTCGTGTAACGTTGTTCACTTCAGACATCGTAGATGATGGAAATATAAATTAATGAAACATCCTCACTCACTGAGGCCCCTACCCTCCATAGAAAAAATACAGACTACGCCCTCCTGCTTTCCCTGTTGTCTCCCTTGTTATGGATTATTTTCCACCAAGAACCATACTTCCATTTTTATACCAAATCACTACTTTTTACATAAAAAACCTTCACCTCTTTTTACATTGCTTTTCCCACAAAAATGTATGCACCAGAACTGCAAGGACTTGTTTTCTGCCTCTACGTGGAGAGCCCACCATGCATGCCTTGGGTAGTTTTGAGCCTGATTTTGTTTTGAATTTAGAATGGCTGGTAGATTGAAAAGGTTCAAAACTTAACACGAAGTGGAGAACATGGTCTCTGAGCTCAAAGGGCTTATTTTGAATTGTGAGCCTGTCTTTACCACTTGTTAGCTTTGTAATCGGTAGACATCAGTTAACTCACAAAGGAGGTACAAGTGTCTACATTATAGTTTTGGAGGGTTAACTGAGCTAATTTATGTAAAACAATAAGACAGTGTCAGATATATAGTAAGCATACTCAATTGTTTACATAGTGAGAAAGAAAAATCGGCCCTTGAGAACTGGGACCCACCGGGCCCGGCCTTCACTCCTGAGCCATGGTGTTCTGTTGAACAGAAACAAGTTTACCCAACACTGTCATCAGACAAGGCCGCTGGGTGATTATTTTGGAGCAAGGCAAAAATAAGAGCACTCTCTAGTCATGTCATTACATAGAGTAAAAAGAAAATGATGCAAATCACAAAAATGATTAAATATTCCCCTAGTCTAGCTATTAAAACGGACTCCTGCTTCTTTACAAGTCAATTTTCGTCCCACTCCCTTCTGCCTTCCAGAAGAGGACTATTAAAATTCCCACTCATACAGTTACACTCGCTCCCCGTGTCAGAAGTCCCCAAGAGCACGTTCAGGGTTGATGATACACTGGGAGGACTGACCGGATTCACAAGGGCCATTATACTCATGAGTATGGTGAAAGAATATATATTGACGTCAGTGAAGGGAAAAGGCGTACATGGTGAAGCCCAGGAGAAATCAGGCACTAGCTTCCAGTTGTCCTCTCTCAGTAGTCACAAGGACAGCACCCCCAGCACAAGTGTGACAATGCTTGTGAAGTATTGCCAGTCACAGCAGCTCACCTGAGCCTTGGTCTGGTGGATCTTGTGGCAGGGGTGGGGGTCACGTGGCCATGCAGCAGTCCCATAACTGAGCTCAGCTACTCAGCCCCCAGCTCCCATTCTCAGAGGAGAGGTCAGACTGATCCAGCATCACCCATGGCTTTAGCCATACAATAACAGGTGTGCATCCTAAGTTGTGCTTAGTCAACAACTAACTAGTCAAACCATACAGTGTGGCCCAAGGCCTCAGGCAGACAACACTCTTACCAGGCAGAATATTCCAAGGACTCAGAATTGATCTTCCAGGCGTTAAGGACCATTGCTTTCTTTGAAAAGGGCAGAGGTTGAGCACCCAAAGCTGCTGAATTAACACTCTTTGGCACACTTCCTGACAACAGCCAACCCCGTGCAAAGCCTGCTTCCCTGATGCCGCCCCCGAATCACCTAAGTCTAACTGCCCTTAGTCCTTTCTAGCACGACTCCTCAGGCATCCCATGCTCCTCGTGCTGTGAGGTCACCACTCCCCACTGCAATAAGTCAACAAACCCAGGTTCGTTCAAGTGCAGGTGCGTTTCTCTAGGTTTTGGCTGGTGGACACTGACATAACCAATATACAAGCTTTTATTCTTAAGAATGGATAAATGGTTTTAATGGGGGAATTGTTTCAGCCCAGTTGTGCAGCAGTTAAGTGCGCACGTTCCACTTCGGTGGCCCGGGGTTCACCAGTTTGGATCCCAGGTGCAGACATGGTACCACTCAGCAAGCCATGCTGTGGCAGGCGTCCCACAAATAAAGTAGAGGAAGATGGGCATGGATGTTAGCTCAGAGCCAATCTTCCTCAGCAAAAAACAGGAGGATTGGCGGCAGATGTTAGCTCAGGGCTAATCTTTCTCAAAAAAAAAAACAAGAAGAAGAAGAAGAAGAAAATTTAAATTAAAAAATTAAAATATTTATGTACTACAACCTCAGAACATATGTTTAAAAAGACAAAATTACAATATTAATTTGACAATCCATATTGGTTTTGAATATTTTAACATATCCTCTCAGTACATGAAAGATAAAGTTAATGTTTTAAGTATACAGCAAGTATAAAACCAGTTTTACTAGGATTTTTCTATGAAATATATACAGAACTTCATGTTTAACTGAAAAACATATAACTTATTTTGCAAACATAAGAATTGTAATAATTGAACACATATTAAGTTTATTGTTTACAGATTGCATTCAGCTGTGAATAACCCCCAAATTCCCACAGTCTGCTTCATATATCTACAAGGTGCCTGTTTCTCATATGGAATTATCTAGAAACAAAAGTAGAGGGTAAATGCAACCACTCAATATGCAATCAGGAAACAAAGTCCTCCGTGTTTTCTGACACCACAATTGTAACTTTCAGGGTTGAGTCAGGGCCACTAGACATATTATGAGGGGCTCCCTACACTAGGCCTAATACAAATATGGTAAGAACTGGAGAAAACACGGCGTGTCAGAGGCCACCAGCCAAGAAAGTATACATCAGTGGCCTGGGTGGACATGTTGGAGCTGACAAGAAAATCCACTGTGGACATGTGAGGATAGAAGTGGATCCAGTGACAGGAGGGCTACTGGAGTTGGTGCCTGTGGAAGGCACCAACTTTGAGAGAATAGAGTTAAATACTGGGTGTTTGGTTTGCGGACACTCTTGATCAATAGGCCCAGAAAGCAGGAAAATCTGCTGGGAATTGGTGCCCGTCGAGCCCTGATGCACCTGTCTGCCTGTATGAGAGCTCCAAAAACAAAGTATGATGGATTCTTCATTTCTGCCTTCCTGATCTCATGCAAGGCTTGCTTCTGGCCAGCTCTAATCTGGAACAATCTAGGGAAGAGATTCTATAAAATGTACTTCCAGGCTTACCCCCATCAACACATCACAATCTGGCACAACACAGCTATTCTAGCTTTTATATATTCAAGTAACAAGGTCTCTGTTTCTAATTCAAAGCCTTGTATCTGATTCCCAGCCAGGAGCTAGGATAGACAGAAATGGGCAAAAGGGGAAAGTCAGATGAAGTGTCCTCATTCACCAGCTTTACACTGAGGAATTTCTGCCAGAACAATGAAGTACTGTGCCCAATACCTAGAAAAAAATGTCAAACAGACATTTTTGATACCAAAGACTGAGAATTTAAAAAATACTGTTTTTCTTAGAAACGAGGAAAGAGAGGATAGAGGTCAAGTATACAAATTCCAGTATGTGCAGCATTAGGCCAGAAATAAAATTCCAGTGATACTAAAGTACCAATATCATAACAACCACATGTTCATGACATACTGAAAATTAGAATAAATAAAACTATCTAAAATCCCAACAGTTACATATTTTAAAACACACTTCAGAAGATCAGTGGGGCCAAAAGATCTGAAACTGTAAACTTAAACTTTTTTTTTTTGAGGAAGATTAGCCCTGAGCTAACTGCTGCCAATCCTTCTCTTTTTGCTGAGGAAGACTGGCCCTGAGCTCACATCTGTGCCCATCTTCCTCTACTTTATACGTGCGATGTCTACCACAGCATGGCTGGCTAAGTGGTGCCACATTTGCACCCAGGATCTGAACTGGCGAACCCCGGGCCACCAAAGCAGACGTGCACACTTAACCGCTGTGCCACCAGGCAAGCCCCTAAATAGTTTTTATGTATGCAATTCATAATTAAAATACTATATCTCAAAATGTATGTAACTTGGGGGCCAGCCCTGTGGCTGAGTGGTTGGGTTCACCTGTGGGTTCACGGCTTCGGATTCTGGGCGCCGACATGGCACCGCTCATTGAGCCATGCTGAGGCAGTGGCCCACATAGCACAAGTGGAAGGACCCACAACTAGAATATACAACTATGTACTGGGAGGCTTCAGGAGGAGGGGAGAGGAGGAGGAGAGTGGCAACAGATGTTAGCGCAGTTGCCAATCTTTAAAATAATGAGAAAAAAAGGTATGTAATTTGGCTGACAGGGTAAGTAGTGGATAGAATGGTAGCCCTCCGAAAGATATATCCACTCAGAACCTGTGACTATGACAGGTTGGAAGGTATTTGGAAGAAGGATCTCGAGATGAGATCATCCTGGATTAGGGTGGGCCCTGAATCCACTGACAAGTGTGTTTATAGGAGAACTGGATAAAACACTTGGAGGAGAAGGGGATGTTAAGATGGAGGCAGAGGGGCCAGCCCCATGGCCAAGTGGTTAAGTTTGTGCCCTCTGCTTCAGTGGTCCAGGCTTTCACTGGTTCAGATGTTGGGTGCGGACATGGCACCACTGATCAGGCCACACTGAGGCAGCGTCCCACACAGTACAACCAGAGGCACCACAACTATAACATACAACTATGTATGGTGGGCTTTGGGGAGAAGGAGAAAAAAAAAGAAGATTGGCAACAGATGTTAGCTCAGGTGCCAATCTTTAAAAAAAAAAAAAAAGATGGAGGCAGAAACTGGAAGGATGCATCTACAAGCCAAGGAGCACCAAGAATTGCTGGTACCAAGAGAAGCTAGTAGAGTGGCATGGATCAGATGCTCCCTCAGAACCCTCAGAAGGAACCAACCCTAATGACACCTTGATTTCCAGCTTCTGGCCTCTACAAGTGGAAGAGAATGAATTTGTTTTTTAAGCCACCAGCTTTGCGGCACTTTGTTAGCGCAGCCTTGGCAAACTAATACTTAAAGGAAAATTCTGTCCTAGATGTTTTTCTCAGAAAGAACTAGAAAGAATGCGATAGGGCTCTACTTTAAGAATAAGGCACTAATAAGGCCAACACTGTATTTAAGACCTTTATAAAGATTTTCTAATGGTACACGATTTGCTGTGCACAGTAAGTGAGGGCATCTGCGTGAAGGCCGTCCAACATTGCTTACTGGCATAGTGTTTCCTCCCGTGAGAGTTCGCGTGTGTTTTTTTAAGTATAGGGGACTACCGAAGGCTTCCCCACCCTGCTTACATTCAGTTTCTCCGCAGTGTGTATTCTCACATGTCTCTGTAAGGATGAGAGCCGACTGAAGGCTTTCCCACACTCCTTACATTCATGCGGTTTCTCTCTACTGTGAGTTCCCAAATGTCCTCGAAAAGATGAGGACCAACTGAAAGCTTTCCCACACTGCTGACATACGTAGGGTTTCTCTCCAGTATGAATCCGTACGTGTGTTCTAAAGTAGGAAGGACTACTGAAGGCTTTCCCACATTGGTTACACGCGTACGGTTTCTCTCCAGTGTGAGTTCGCAAGTGTCCCTTAAAGGACGAGGGAGAACTGAAGGATTTTCCACATTGTTTACACTCATACGGCTTTTCTCCAGAGTGTGTTCTCACGTGAATCCTAAGGTCTGAGGGCCAACTGTAGGCCTTCCCACATTCTGCACATTTATAGGCTTTCTCTCCGGTGTGCATCCTTGCGTGTATGATCAGGTAAAAAGAATGAAGGAAGGCTTTTCCACATTCCTTACACTCGTAGGCTTTCTCGGCGCTGTGAACCCTCGCATGTTTCCTAAGAGAGGACGAAGAAGGGAAGGATTTCTCACATTCTTTACAAGCGTAAGGTTTCTCCACAGTGTGGGTTTCTCTGTGTGTCCAAAGGTTTGAGGGAGATCTGAAGGTCTTCCCACATTTTCCACATTCATACGGCTTCTCTCCAGTGTGAGTTCTTATATGGACTCTGAGTTTGGAGAAGTACATAAAGGCTTTTCCACACTCTTTACATGCGTAGGGTTTCTCTTCAGTGTGAGCTCTTATGTGTGCCCTAAAGGATGAGTAACAGAGAAAAGCTCTCCCACACTCCTTACATTGATAGGGTTTTTGTCCATGTTGAGGTGATGCTATGGGACTCCGCAGGGATGAAGTATCCAGGATGGCTTTTTCAAATTTATTGTATTCATCGCATTTTACTCCAGTAGAAAGTCTCTTATGCACAATAAGATTTGGAATCTGGTTGGTTTCTCCACATTGATTACTTTCCTTAGTTTCCAAGGGTATCTCTACCACGTGACATCTGTTAAAAATAGGGATCATGTTATCAATGATTTATTAGTGATTCATTGATATCTTTTAATGATTAATATGATTACATTGTTACCATTTTCAGTGAATGGGTATGTCTTCTGCCCTGTTAGAATTGTGTCCAAGTGGTGTAAGCTGAATGCTGGCAGAGGGCTCAATCCCAGGCATCATTTCAGTGTTTTTTATATACGGGATTTTGTTTCCTGACAACTGTTTACAACTGAACTAAGCCTCTAACAGTTAACATCTGCATCACTTTTATAAAATGGTCTCGTGAAAATTCTCTGTGAATACCTAATATCTGTCTCATATGTACACATACACGCACACACTCACATATCCACGTCGTGGCACTCTCGTCCTCTCCTGAGACCTGCTGTCTCTCACGTGTATGTGACTCACCTCAAGTGTGTTCCCTGGTTCTTGTGCTGATCTTCGACGCCATGGCATTTCCAGTTTTCTCCTAAAATGAAGAACCAGGAATCATTTCTTCTGAATCTTACTCTATTCTGTTCACTTCGTATTTCTTCCCCAAACGTAACACTGTAGAAGATTTGACCCATTGATTTTACGTTGAGCGTCATAATATGAAAAATAGTAACAAAATTACTTTCCTTGGAAAGAACTGGTGGGATGAAGACAAGGAAAGAAGTCGGGGAACATGTACATATTTTTTCAAATAGTGATCCCAAAAGTCTACAGATTTCATAAGGAAGAATGCACTCTTGGGCACAGAAAGACTTTGAGGAGTTTGGCTGTTTCAGGACTTTGACAATAATGAGGACAAGAAGGTCAAAACGGTGGGTGATTTACTGGAAATACTTCCATGAAGACTGAGCCTTATGGTGACATAAACACCCTGTTATCAGGAAAGCAACATGGGAAAGAAATGGACAAAACGCACATGCCAGAACACTAACTTTAAAACAGGAAATATGGAAAGGCTTTCAATGTGGACAAGGACATTTGTGAGGATGGATGAAAGTCAAAAAAAGGAAGCAAGAGTATCCGGCAAAATTCAACTTCCTCAGGAAGAGCAGTAATTGAGTTTTTAAATTAATATTTCCAAATGTAATGCTCCTTGATAGGGGCTGTTCCTCTTAAGCACAGAATTATAACCCTTAACAAGACAAAGCATTTAAGAGGGACAGTAGTAGGTTTCATACATACATGAGAAAGCTATTAGACAATATGCTCCATAGTGATGTCCCATGTCTGTCTTAGTCAGCAGTCAATTCCCATTGTTCAGCCCAACTTTTAGAACAAGCTCAGTAGCTAAGGAATATTTGTGCCCTAGAGAGTAAGGGAAGGAACGAAGCCAGCCTTACCTACTGAGGCCAGGTTCCTGAAGGTCTCCAGCATCACGTCTCTGTAGAGCTTCCTCTGAGCACCATCCAGCAGAGCCCACTCCTCCGGGGTGAAGTTCACAGCCACATCCTCAAAGACCAGCGAGTCCTAGAACATCCAACAAATTTTGGTTCAACAAAGTGCCATTCTCCCCCAGCGTGTGCAGGAGGAAGACGGAGGCTGACAGCGCTGAGGAACTGGGATGTGGTTCACAGGAAGTTCACACACAGTTCTGCCGACTCCCATCCAATCCAGGGCTCAGTCATCAGATCTCATCCCTTCTATCCTATTCAGCACTCACTTCCTCAGTGATCCCAGCCAGCCTCAGAGACTTAACAGCATCTCCAATGAACTCATCTCTCTACAGTTTGACTGTGACAACATCCACTCCTCCTCTCCATCTGAAGCATCCAGGACAGTCCGCAATACATTGGAGAAATGAAAGAAATACTATACAGATCTTCCTTAACTTATAAGGGGATTACATCCTGATAAACCCGTTTAGTTGAAAATATCGTAACTTGAAAATGCATTTAATACACCTAACCTACTGAACATCACAGCTTAGCCCAGCCCACCTTACACGTGCTCAGAACACTTACATTAGCCAACAGTTGGGCAAAATCATCTCACACAGGGCCTATTTTATAATCAAGTGTTGAATATCTCATGTAATTTATTGAACACTGTACTAAAGGTGAGAAACAGAATGGTTGTAAGTGTATCGCTTGTTCACTCTCGTGATCACGGAGCTGACTGAGAGCGGCCACTATCCAGCATCGCAGGAGAGCATCGCACCGCATATTGCCAGCCTGCAAAAAGATCAAAATTCAAAATCCAAAGTATGGTTTCTACTGCATGCATAACATTTTCACACCATCGTAAAGTTGAAAAACCCTAAGTCGAATCATCATGAGTTGGGGACCGTCTGTACAAATAAAACAATTATTGCCTCTTGAAAAACAGCAATTCCATGTGAGGAAAATTATTTCATCTCCTTCATTGTTCATGACAGGCCTCAGCATGACATGAAGCAAAGGTCAGCCCTGGATGAGGTGTTAATGGATAACAACATGCTGAGGGCCTGGGAGCGTCTCCTGTCTTTCCCGTCACCCACAACTTGATTCTCAAGAGGCCTGGTTATGCCCAATCTTCCCCCCAGGCACGAGGATGGATATACCTCCCTGAAGAGCTCCAATGCATTATAAACGGGCAGGTCCACCTGGTGAAATAAGAATATTCTTTGTGAGAAGCATTGATGTTTACTTATCTCCTATTTTCCTATAAAACAGCAACTCTTTCTCTCCCTCCATCCTCTCCAAGAAACAGTGTATTGACAAATTGGAGCTCAGGCAAGAGAAAGGAAGTGTAAGACTGCAGACCTCAGCACAATGCCTGCGTTCAGGGGCCTGGGTGCTGAGAACCACCAATTATGGGTGAAAGCTCCCCCTCAACACTCACACAGACTGAGGTCACAAGATGCCAGAACAGCCTTGTCTTGCCCAGAAAAGAGTGCCCTGGTCCTTCCTGCCTGTGAAGAGGTGGTTATGAGTCCCGCCGGAGAAGGGAACTGACTCAAGTCCAGAAGGGCTTGGCTGTGAATTGCCAAGACCATAAAATGCATGAAAGGATCGGGCAGCACCGTCCTCCAAAAGAACGTGTGCTCCCACTCTTTGAAAATCCAGAGGCCCTGACTTAATCACCAGCCTCCTGGGGGCTCTACACACAATAATCGTTTCTGCCCCACCTCGGTATGCAGACCAGCATAACTGCCCAGCTCCTGAGCATGGCTCTGATGGCCTGCAGTCCCCAGAAAGCCTGGCCTTTGAGAAGTACATCATTCCATCGGCTTCCACACGCAGAGGTGGGAATACAGGCTGCCACACCCAAAGGCAGGTGCTGCAACCTGTACAACAAACAGCTGCAGCACTGGAAAGCTCCAGAACTGGACCGCTCTTCTCATAAGGTGAGTAGTAAAGCCAGCTGCCTCTAGCATCTCTGATTACGCTGGGTACACTACTATCTGGTGTCATCTCACAACAAACTTCTAGCCCCAGAGGCATTCAACCAACTCCTCCACTGCTGTGTCAGGTGACATTTTAAAGCCACCAAAACCCCTAACAGTCTCACAACAATAATAATAATAAAATGTTATTTTTATTAAAAATTTATTTAAAATAAGACAAACACCCATGATGTGTGAAACAGTTTGCACACTCTGGCTCATTTATTTCTCATAATAAATGTCCTAAGTTGACAGCATTACAGTCAGTACAGAGCAGAGGAGACTTAGAGAACAGAGTCAATTAATGACACACTCAGTATTACCCAGTTAGAATGTTCTAAGTCAGCTTTCCTTCAAAGCCTCGCTCCTGGACAGACAGACACCTTTCAGTCTGGTCATGGCAATGAGTCCTCAACATGAGTGACGTGATCCAGAGAGGTCAGTAAGCTTTGTCTAGAAAGGTCAGACAGGACATTGTCCAGGCTTTTCTGGCCACGTGGTCTTCGTTGCAGGTGCTCAGCTCTGCCTTTGTAGCACAAAAGCAGCCACAGACAACACAGAAAGGAATGGACGTGGCTGTGTGTCAATAAAACTTTATACATAAATAGATAGCAGCTTTGGCCTGTGGGCTGTAATTTTCCAACCTCTGATCTAGAGCAGTGCCACCAAATAGGACGACAATACAGACAACATACCTAATTTTGAATTTTCTTGTAGCCGCTTTAAAAAACTCAAAGTATTAAAATTAATTAATTTCTTTTTAAAGATTTTATTTTTTGTTTTTCTCCCCAAAGCCCCACAGTACATAGTTGTATGTATTTTTAGTTGTGGGTCCTTCTAGTTGTGGCATGTGGGATGCCACCTCAGCATGGCCTGATGAGTGGTGGTGCCATGTCTGCGCCCAGGATCCGAACCGGTGAAACCCCAGGCCGCCAAAAGCAGAGCGTGCAAAGCCAACCACTCAGCCACAGGGCCGGCCCCTGAAGTTAATTTTAATAGTATGTTTTATTTTGTCCACTAAATACAAATAGCACTTCAATAAGTAACGAACATAAAATAATTACTGAGATATTTTTACATCATACTAAGTGCTACAAATCTGGTATGGATTTCACACCTACAGCCCGACTCGGTTTTGACAGCTATTTCAAGAGCTCAACAGCCACACATGGCCTGGAGCTACTGTTCTGGACAGTGCAGATCCAGACCCTGCTAAGAACTGTGGAAACCAGAAAACGAAACATCCTCCTCACTTCCCACATCCTTGGGCTCCTTCTTCTGGCAAAGCCCTTTGTCTCAGCCAACTTGCTTCTCCGTTGCCCATAACTCTGACCCATTTCATGTGCTAAAAATCTATTTAGATGATAGTTCCTACTGTGTGCGGCCACAGAGATACAGCACTTAAGAGAGAAATTCTGAATCACGTGAGTCTTAAATTCTCATTGGGGAGGACAATAGGTAAAGGAAACATAATCCAGTAGATGGGGTATGTCAGTGCTGTAAATAAAATACAGGACAGGGAAGGCATTTGGAATGAGAAACAGAATGAGCAGATGGAAGTGGCGCAGGGTCAACCCAAGCAGAAAAATAACCCTCTGAGTGACACTGGAACTGGATACCTTGGCCTGGTGGTTTAAAAATGCCACTGCATTTTTCAGCTCTAAGAATAAGAAACAGAATGATTTCACCAAATCTCAGGAAAGGTTTCCATTGCTAGTCAGCTTCACCATGTCCCAGCTGGGAGACACTGGGATCAAAGTGTCCCCAGCCAAGGGCAGAAACACCGTCTGCTCCGGGAAAGGAAGGAAAGAACACCATCGATGGGCTAAAGGTGAACTCAGGAGTGTGGAAGAGAGCAGTAGCATAAATGAAGAAAGGAGGAAGAAATGTGAAGGGCAAAATTAATACAAAAATGAGGCGAAAAATACATCTCTTGAAAACTAATCAAACTGACAAAGCTTTCGCAGTTTTCTTCAAGAAAAACAAAGCATGCGCACGCAAATAAAGTTATGAATGAAGACGCAGGCATAATTAGGGATGTTCTAGGGGTTAAACACGAGGCAAGTGGAATGATCCAAAATTTTTAAATTCTCAGTACTTCCAGAGTATTCAGTTGTTTAAAATATTTTAAAGAAAAAAGGTGTTTTAAAATATTCACACAAAGGAAAGAAAAAAATCCCACATCCCAGAACCATACAACTGAAAAAAAAAAATGAAATATGAGATCATTAACAAATACAAGTGCAAAATTCTATAAAAAATATTAGTACCCTAACAGAGTAATGAATAATGTGCATAATAAATCACCCAAGCTCATTTTACTCCAAGAATGTTTAAAAATTGATCCACAAATTAATACATTTTACCACATTAATAGAAAATCATAATTCATGTCCTTAGATCCAGAACAGTGACGGATATATTACCATCATTAATGGAAATCAAAATTTAATACACCAGAACTAGAAGGAACGTGGCTGACTGGGAAAGACGGTGCATAAAAATACCTACTGCAATGTTAAAGGAAAAATTTTGAAATAGTCAAACAGTTCCCTCCTCAGGAAGAGAGGACACGGCATACCTCATTCTACACCGAACTGGAGGTCCTGGTGAGTCATTAAGGGAAGAAAAAGAAACGAAAGGCAAAATGATCGCAGAAGAAAAAAGCTGAAATACCATTATTTGCAGGTGAGCTTCTGTATGTAAAATTCCAAGATATTATATATGAATAACTAAAATCTTACTTCCACTTAACAAGGACAGTAGTGACAAGAATCATGCTCCCACATGAGTGTACTCTACGTACCAGTAGCAGAATTTTAAAATAAGTCTAAGGAAGATTTTGTAGAACATTGAAGACAAAAACAATATGATATTATTGAAAGAAATGAGGGAAGATGGAAATTAGTGGAGAGACAGGCCAAGCCCACGTGCTGGAAAGCTCAGTCCTCTAAGGATGTACGTGCGCCCTCGAGCCCACCGACAGGTTCCAGGAAATGTCCACTCATTCCTGGTACTTGAAGGGCTGATTCGAATCCCAGCTTTTCACATTTGAGAAACCGCCCCAGGGGCACCAGATCCACCCAGCTCAGGAACGATATCTTGGGTGCATGATGCGTGCCAGACCCTGTCCCCTGTGGCTGCGAGAAACCAATGAGAAATTGTGATCTCCTTTTTTTTTTTTTCATCGCCCATTTTAAAGCTTTATTTCTAGGAAGCGAGGTGAGTTACGCAGTAAGGAAAAACCCGCGGGGACCCGGGACCCCCACGGGAGCAGGGACACAACGCCTGGACCCACCCGGCAGTCGAGGGCGGGGACCCCGGGGGTCGAGGGGAGACCCAGGCCCGCGGCCGGTTCCCGCCGGTTCGAACCAGCCGCTCCGGGTCCCGGCCCGGCCCGCGCACTCACCATCTCCGCCCGCTCCGACTCTCCGCGCGTCCTCCCCGCGGCCCCGGCAGGTGACAGCGGCGTGGACGGGACACTTGGAGCTGCGCGGGGCAGGTGCGCGCGGGGACGCGGCCGGACGAGAGGGACGTCCACGAGGTTGCGAGCGCGCCCGCCCCCGGGCCTGATTGGACGGTGCTGCAGCCCTCAACGTCTTGATTGGCCGGTAGTCCAGCCACTCCCCCTCCCAGAGACTCTGACTGGGCAGGGCTATTGGCCTCGACGCCGCTGATTGGGCAATTTGCCCGTCTGCACGCCCTTGTGATGGGCGGGGCCTGACATCACGCGGCCGAGCCGGGCGGAAGTGCCGGTTCTCGGCCTCAGCCCTTACCTGCTCCGCCTCCCCGGATTCGGACCCGCCCGCCCGGGGTGGGGGTCCGAGCAGAAGCGGGTTTTGCCCGGCCAGCCCGGCGTCTGCCCCTCGCTCGGCGGCCTCTCCTCCTCCTCCCCCTGGACTGGGAAGTCCTGACTCAGTTTCCCCGCGGAACGCCCCTTCCTCCGGAGCCGGGACGAGATGAGACATGGCGGGTCAGGAGGGCCTGGTGACCTCCGAGGTCAGGGGTCGGCCTGGAGCTTTGCGGACCGCGACCTCTAGAGTTTCCGCACCGACAATGAAAATTGCAATCGTCATGCCTGAATTTTCAGGGGAAAGCTATTTTTTGTAGTTTGGTCTCAAAATCTGTTGATTTTTTTTAAAAATTAAGAGCACTTAGATCCGATTCAGATTTGCTTCTTTAAGATTTCATTTATGTCATCTGAATGTGTGGTCAGAATTTTTCCTCTCAATGTTTCCGTTTATACTTTGTCCTTCTCTCGGGTATTTTGTTTACAGTGTCTACACGCGGCACCCCCGCCTGCCCGAGCTTCTGCAGACGCAGGTCCGCGTGGGTCCGGCACCAACCCCCTAAACCCCCACCCCAGATCCAGTTAATCAGTGGCAAAATCAGTGACCTTTCCCCTGCAGGGTACTCGTCCCTCCTCCCTCCCCCGCGATCGGCGCCTCCTCTTCTGCCCCTTGGTCTCGGTTTCAAGGGCTCTGCCTCCCTCCGCCCCTCCGCCGTTTGTGGCGCATTCTTTCCTTTTGTTAATCGCTCTCATAGTAGTCTCTGCATTTATACTCATCGTTTTTATATGAGCTCGTGTAGGTGCTTGTTGTCTGTCTCCCTGACCTCAATGAAGCACCATTCGGAGTGCCCCTATTTTTATTACTATTATTCAAGTGCTAAAATTTCTCTGATCAATTTCAGACAGTGACTGCTAGGCCAGGCTCCTGCTCCCAGAAGGTGTTTGAGAGCCGTACCTGCAGAGGAACCCGCACCACTAAGACTTCCCCCGAAGGGAACAAGCATACAATTGTTCATCATTGCCTTAATCTATAAGATCATGTGAAAAAACGCAATGATCGATAGAAAGAACAGGACAGAAGAAGTAAATGTTGTGATTGGAGGTGATAGCATTGCCTTCTTGAGAAACTAAAAACCAAACAACTGTAAAAATGTTAGAACTGATGACAGAGTCGATTTACTAGTTATTAAGTATATGCAATAGACATCATAAAATGTATTATTGAACTAAAATGGCACTTTCTGGAAAAATATATAAAATTTTATATAAAATATACATTTTATATAAAAACATATAAAATCATGTGCATTAACATAAGTGCAGGATCCATGTGAGAACCGTTACAGGTGTTTCCTGATGAAGGGACCCGAGGTGTCATCTTCATGGACATATAAACAACTTATTGGATTGAAGACAACTCCGTGCAAAGACGCAGGGCTCTCTAAACACAGCCGTGAAATTTAGAGAAATTCCCAACCAAATTTGCATCAGGAGCTTTGTGCCTCTTGGTAAGATCACTCTGGAAGAATCTCTGAAAGGTAGTGCAAGGAATAGCCAGGCAAATCTTGGAAACGAAGTGTGGGGAAGAACTTTCTGATCAGATCACCAATTAAAATAATTAATGAGTACAAATCATTGAAGTGGCCCCAGAACAAGGAATTATGTGACCCCTAATATCAATAGTGTGAATGTTGAGAAATCCTGGAATGAACACATACGCCCGTGAGAGTTTAAACAGACACAAGAATATAATAAAATATGTGACGCTTTGCAATCTGCAGCCGTCCTTTCTGCTACATCCGAATAAATTCCCAGTGGACTAAAGATTTGAAGATAAAAAAAAGACAACATAAAAATGCTGAAGAAAACATCCGTATTCCTGTATACTTAGTGAGTGAAAGTCAGGACAAAGAAAAAAATGTATATAAAATCATGACTAGATTTGAAAAAATAAAAAGTTAAAATGTCACAATAATACAAGGTGAAAGAAACACCAAGTGGGAAATGTCAGTAGTATTGAGAAAAAGGCAGTATCGTTAATATTTTTAAAGCTGTTATACATCAAAACCAAAATATAAAAATCCATTAAAATGTGCAAAGGCTATGCTCAGAAACCTACAAAATTGTAAACAACATATGCCTAATAAAGATATGAAAATAGGTTAGCTCTTCAGGCCCAGGATGGATAGTAGGAATAGATGTACGTATTAACCAGCAAAGTAGCCATTTTGGTTTCCTAACTTGGTTGTTGAAGCATATTGTTGGGGAAAGGTCAAGGGGATGCTTCTGGAACTGTTCCTTAAGACAGCAAAGCCAAAGGAACACCTCGCTCGCTCCTGGAGGAATTTCAAAGATTAGCGTGTACTGCCGTCGAAGTACCTTGCTCTTTCATTACAACCTTCGGTTGTTGGCGAGTTTGGAATATCAGAGTCTTGATGAGGCTGAGATGTTCGTCACAGCTGTATTCCACGTGTGTGTCTTTACTGGTGCAGACAGCCCAGGCTTCCGGCATCCGCTGGGCATCTCTCGCTTAGCAAATGCCTTCCACCCGTTCTGCCAGGAGATGCAGTCAGGATTCATTTCCCTTTGTTTGGCAGGCCCCTCGGTGTATTTTCCAGCGTTGTCTTCCTGCTTGATCAACAGTCCTACCTTTGTCCAAATAGAGGACGGAAACACGCGTCGGACAGTGGAAGAGAAATGCAGCGAAAGTTCATGAGCCTGTCACATTACTGAGTTTCCTAGGCGTCGGGCTGTCCGAGAACAGGATGACACGTGGGAGATAAATTACTGCACTTTGTGCCACTCATCGAAATTAAGGAGCACCAAAGTTGGTGGGGAGCTTCAGGTTATGGAGGCCACACGTACCATATCTGGGCCTGCTATCTGGGACTCATAGCAGGTGACACATGCGAGTGCCGATTTTGAGTGTGGCTGAGAACCACATCAAGGGCAAATCTGAAACAGCTTCATGTTTCAGTGCAACTGCCCTTCCATTTGGGTTTTATGACACGACGGAACAAATGGTGTGTTGGAGGATGATCTATGGGGTTTCTGGAACCCCAGATAGGGAAATCATAGCCCAGAAACCTGGAACTTGAGCGTAAGGTCACATTCCCTTCTGTTGAAAAATCTTCTCAGTTTGAAAAAGAGCCTGGTTTGCCAATGGCCCCCAGACTATGAGGCCACCGCATAACAAGGACCCGTGATGAGCCTCCTCAGCTGGGTGTTGTCTGATCCGCTGGACCGTAAACCAGAGAGGAACATCAGATTTACATGGCAAAGTGGGAAAAGGATGTATGTGTCCAGGCCTGAGCTCATCTGGAAGCGCGAGTGAGCTCAGTGAGCTGATGGCTGAAACTCCCTTTGCACCCGCGCGTGTTAACACGCCAGAGGGGTCTCTCTTAAGCCCACACCTGTGGTTTCCTGGGTGTCTTGGGATAAATTCTTGTGTTTCAGTTTCTACTTCCCTTTGTACCCAAGATTTGTGTAACAGAAGGTTTTTACATTTCCAAGTGGAAAGGCCTTTCTGGTTTTTGTTTTTGTTCACAATTTCTCATTTTTTATATTTATTTTTTGCATTGTGATCTGAGAGTATTTCTACTTTCTGGAAACTGTGGATGTTTTCTTTATGCCTTAATTTATAATCTGTGTTTTGGAATGTGGCACCTGAGACAAATTCGTATTGTCTTTTGTCATGGTGTTGCGTTCCATAGATCCATGAACTATATCCTGTTCGTAAATGTTTTCTCTTTATCCTGAATTGTGACTTCTAGCATCAACAAGTGTCCTTCATTATCTCATTCAATGGTCTTGTCTTGAATTTTATGTTTTCTTACATCCCTATACCCACCCCACCTCTCATGTTGTTTCCAATTCCCTGATACATCTTTGTGCCTCTCGCTCCTTCTCGCCTCCCGAATCACTTCATTTTACACGTGTCTTCTGCCTACCATCTGTAAGTGCGTCTTGTTTTCTGAGCCAGACTGAGAACTTTTTTCTACTTAATGGTGAGTTAGGCCAATTCACACTTGTTAATATGCATGATACATTTGGTCTCATTTTGTCATAACTTTTGTTTTTATTGTGGTAAAACATGATATATAATTGACCATCTGAATCATTTTAAGCGCACAGCTCAGTAGCGTTAAGTACACTCACACTGTCATGCAACCATCCCCTCCATCCATTTCCAGAACTTTCTCATCTTCTGAAACTATGTCCACATTAAACACTGACTCCCCACCCCTCCCCCAGCCCCTGGCCCCCCGTCTACTTTCTGTCTCTGTGGATGTGGCTCCTCTGGGGACCTCCTGTGAGTGGACCACACAGTGTGTGTCCTTTTCTGTCTGGCTTATCTCCCTCAGCCTAATGTCTTCCAAGCTCATCCATGTTATAGCATCAGAATGTCATAACTTTTTTTTAACATTCACTTTATTTTTTAGAATGATTTTAGATATGCAGGAAAAAATGTACAGATAGTACAGATTTCCCATATATCCCACATATGGTTTCCCCCTGTGATTAATATCTTAATCTGGTACATTTGTTACAAATAATGAACCAATACTGATGTGTTCTTATTAACTAAATCCTTATAGACTAATGCTGGAGCTCCAGCCTCAGCCATAGGTATTTAACTGGCAAACCAGCTGACACTCTATGAATAACATACATCCAAGGCAGACCATGTGATTTAAAATCTCTTTGTACCAGAACCAGTTCATCACCCTTCTGGGCAAAACCCGGGACCATTGGGAGCTTTTAGACGCAGCCACCCTTACCTGGGGCTTGACTGGGGCCAGTCAGGTCCAAGGATGGTGGTTTCATGATGCCACTGTCACCCTAGCTAGCTGTGCACCTTGATTTCAAGGGTATTTGCAAGTCAAGCTCCTAGGCCCAATGTTGCCTTCAGATTCTGCGAGCGGCTCAGCCTCATGACAATATCGCAGAGCCACAGAAGTGTACTGCACATCCACCCAAGTGGGGAGCCACTTGGAAAGGATATTCCAGTCCCACATCACCCCAGGCAACGTGGCCTAAGTCCAAGACCTCACTGGAGATGACACCACGCCAACCCCAGACCTCACTGGAGATGACATTGCCTCAGATGACCTGGCCCCAGCTCAAGACGTCCCCTTCTAACCATACACTGGGAGCCCGAACTACACCAGAGCTGGGAAAGTCTCGCCACCCATGGGAGAGCCCAGACACCCTCAGCTCTCCAGCGACTAATCTCACCGTTGAGTTCTGTTTTACAAGGTAGGACCCATCAGACTGGGGTCATTTTCCAGACACTGCCGTTGGCTAGCCCCGCCACCCAACCTTGCTTTGTGACACTTGTCAAATCATGAGTGCTGCCTTCTCTGATTCTACCTTATTCCATGTTAAGCCCAATGGGGACCAAGTCCAATGCCTTCCCAATGCCTCCAAGATTCGGGTGCCTGCCAGTACCACCCACTTACCCCGCCAAAAGGGTCATCTGACCCAAGCACCCGTGCTATATGATCTCCTAGGTAAGCAGAATTCTGTCAGCTGCCCAGTGCTCAAACCACTCCTCCCCCTTCCTCATTATCCACATTCACACCTCACTCTCTCTTATCCTAACAGAGCCTGACCTGCTCGCTCTTCACAGCAAATGAAATCCGAACCCATTGCCAGCCCCGCGGATATTTATGAGATCGAACATACACAACGCTTCACTGAGCCGGGCTCCGGGCTGTGGGGCACTGATTGTTCAGAGCTGTTGGATTTGCCATCAGCCTGCTCCCACATACCCCTCCCCAAACATTTATCAAGCTGATATCTCTCCCGGAGACGGAAATTACTGGGAAATTAAGATCTCTTCCAGACGGCCACCTCCCCTGTAACTGGGGCGCCCCCTCATAACAACTGACCACACAGCACATATGAGCCACCTAATGGACAACCCACACCCCTGCCATCTGCCCAACAAAACCCACTGCCCTCCTCCACTCCGGATCTTTGATAATTCCCAGTTGCTCATTTTGCAATCTAAAGATGATGCACAGGACACTGTTGTGACCCGACAAAAAATGGCACTTATCCCCTCTCCAAGGGGCGCCTTCCACCACCTCCAAGCCACACACCACACGCGCTCAGGCCTGCCTCAGCCTTTCTGCTTATGGAAAAGTTAGTCCTTCTGCCCCCACCGCCACACGTCATCGACTTGCCAGGCCCTGTGGAAATGAGCAAAGACCACCCAAGTGAGAACAAGCAGGGGCTACTCACTCAGAGCTTGCTAGAGCAGCGGAGTCGGTCACTGTCACTCACATTTGTCAGAGACCCAAAGGCAGGCAGGGGAGTGGGAAAGATACATGGTGGGAAAAAGGGAAGGCTTTTCAAGCCCTGACTGGAGGCTGAAGGCAGCTAGCTGGAGGCGGGGCATCCTATGCCATTGGCTGGGGGGACATTCGGCTTTCTGTGGCTTGTCCTAAGTTGGAAGCAGAGACAAAAAAAAGAATCAGTTATTAATCAAGTTCTGGCCATTTGGGGCCAATTGTTCCAGAGCTCGTTCGGCTTCCAGGACTGTGTGCCTGAGACAGAGGTCTGAGCATAGCAGGCTGGCTTCCCGGGCTGGTTCCTCTAGATAATGGGTTGTTTTCTTGGGCTGGTTGCTGTGGGTCAGAGTTCTCTTTTTACACATGGCCTGGCCATTGTCCGTCTGCATATTCAGGGTCGGTTCATGCCTAGAATACAGGACTCGACAGCACTTGGAGCTTCCTGGAACAGCCGCGGAGACCCTGACCCTAATGCGACAAGCGAAAACCATTGACGCCAACCTGCAAATGCCCCAAACTCTCATCCCTCCTATTTCTCAAGTGCAATAAATCTTAGGCCTCCTTGATCAAGCAACGCTGGCATAAACGGTCGTGACAATGGAATGGTCCTTGATTTGCTAATAACCAATCAAGGACGTGTTGCCATGTGATTGATACTTCTTGTACGTGAAATAACAACACTATAAGGTGGCCACTCTCCCAAAAAGCCTGGATCACGAAATCTTCGTCATCAAAAACTTAACTCACTCCTGAGCACACTCCATAATTTAACTGCGATATTACGAGAGGCCTCTGCCAAAACTGACTTATTCTCCTGGCTAACACCAAATTAGTGGCAGCCTGGATACCAGCCGGCTTCCGGGGTCCTGTCGTGCTTCCATTCATTTTTTTCCTTTTTGTGTCATAATGAAATTTTTTAAGGCTGTTTAGGGCCAGTCACGCCCTCCTCTCTGGAGCTCTCCTCTGCTATTTGGGCCACTCAAATAATTGAGCTCAAAACTCATGTCAAGACATCAAGGGGCCAATTGTAATATGAGATTTCACAAGTGCTGTCTTGAGCCTGTTTGAAGTCCTGCCTAAAAACTGTCAATTCCCCTCCACCCAACAGCCCCTGGGCCGGGTACCACACAGCTCGGGACAGCTCTTATGCCCCAAGCCCAGAGTGATTCAAATTAGCTGATCCCCTGGGAGCCCGCAAAGCCAGCTCACCCCACTCTGCTTGCCATACACAAACCAACACCATACACAGCTGCAGCTTGCTGTTACCCTGGCCCTGGGTGCGACCCCCGGTGGCCCAGCCTGGCATCTTTCCCTCGTTTGGGGCTGTAAGTAACAAAGAGATCTGCCTGTCAACTGCTCCAGTGTTGTGTTGTGTCCCACCAGCAAAACAATCTTTAAAACTTATAAAATACAACCCAGAAAAATGAATTTTAAGAATACTGTTTATACATAAAATGACACGTAATATCGGAGAAAGTACTTCCAATCCCATCTCGAACTGGAAATATTTTTCTTTTTAAAGATTTTATTTTTCCTTTTTCTCCCCAAAGCCCCCCAGTACATAGTTGTATATTCTTCATTGTGGGTCCTTCTACTTGTGGCATGTGGGACGCTGCCGCAGCGTGGTTTGATGAGCAGCGCCATGTCTGCGCCCAGGATTCAAATCAATGAAACACTGGGCTGCCTGGAGCAGAGGGCGCGAACTTAACCATTCGGCCACGGGGCCAGCCTCTGGAAATATTTTTCTGAAATGGGCAGCCAATTAAATGCATTAGGAATTTTAGCCCATTCCGTAGGTGTGTTGAGTTGTCTGGTCCATCCCAAATTTATATGAGCTTTTCTTGTTTTTTTCTTAAATTGGTTGAATAGGAATTCAGTTGCCTTAGAGATATCATAGCCTTTTACATTTCAGAGTTCTCCAGGGACATCCTCAAAAACTGACCTAAAATAAATTTCTTTTCAGTGTAAATTGTACACCTGAGAATTTTCACGAACACATCTCACGTGTTGTGGTGGTTCTGACAAGAGTTCCCGCCCCTGGGCTAGTGTTCCAACTTCCCACCGGCACCAAGCTCTCAGGAAGCTGCAGGTTTCTTGATTGAAAGCATGCCTAATAAAAAACAAATCTACCCTTAGATACGGAGAAACTTCATTCGCAGATTCTTGCAATAGGGACAAGGCTCATATCTGAGCGACGTGCAAGATCTCGACTCAGACGGAAAAGGGCTTCTCGTTTCTACGTAAAGGGGGCAGCAGGGGAAACCGGGCAGGTGAGCTGGCTGCAGGACCACACGGTTGGACAGCACGGGGCCTCCTGGGGTCAGCCCATTCTCGGCAGAAGTGGACCAGGGGCTTGGACAGCATCTCCGGGCTTGCTCAGACTTGGGGGGCGACCCAAAGTGCAGGGCCCGTCGGGAGGGAAGACTGACAGGTTGGGTAAGAAATGGGACCTGGTGAACCTTGGTCAGCCCCAGAGGTGGGGGCGGGGAAGGGCGGCTGGGCCTGCCGGTGTCAAAGGTCACACGTCAAAACTGACCCGGGCCCTGCCCTGCAGGCGGCGACGTTCACTGTTGAGTGTTTTTGCTCTTTTGCAAAGGGCACAGATCTATGGTGACCTGGTCCCCGGGCCGACCCCTGACCCCGGAGGTCACCAAGCCCTCTTGCTCTGACCAGGGTCCGGAGAGGGGGCGCTCCGCGGGTAAACTGAGTCGGGATTCCGCGGTCCAGGAGGACGCCGGCGGGGCCGCGGAGCTGCAGGCAGACGTCGGATCAGTCCGGCTGGAAGCGCATTCCGCTCGGAGCCCACGACCCGAGCCGGTCGGTCCGGGTCCACAGAGGAGGCCGGGCAGGGAAGGGTTGAGAGCTAGAAACAGCACTTCCGCCCGGCTCAGTCACGTGACCTCCGCCCCCGCCTATCACTCAGGATACAGGGACTGGAACGCTGTCCAATCAGGAATAAGGGGGGCCGTGACGAGCAACAATCAGGAGCTCTGGGGCGGGACCCAGAAGGGAATGAGCCAATAAAAGGATAGGGGGTGCGGGCTCTGAGGCGCTGTCCAATCACGGGCGTCGGGGGGGGGGTCTAAGAGCACTGTCCAATCAGGGGCCAAGACAGTGAAGGGGCCGGAGCACCGTCCAATCAGCACGCGGGGTCCGGGAGAACAGTCCAATCAGAGCCGGGGGCGGGCGCGCTCGCAACCGCGTGGACGTTCCTCTCTTCCGGCCGCGGCCCCGCGCGCGCCTGCCCCGCGCGGCCTCAGGTGTCCCGTCCGGTCGCTGTCACCTGCCGGGGCCGCGTGGAGGACGCGCGGAGAGTCCGGAGCGGGCGGAGATGGTGAGTGCGCGGGCCGGGCAGGTTTGAACCGACCGGAACCGGCTGGAAGCGGCCGAGGGCCCGGGTCTCCCCGCGACCACGGGGGTCCCACCCGAGTCCCCGCCCTCGGCCGCATGGGGGTCCCGGGTCCCACCCGAGTCTTTGGCCGGACGGGGGTCCGAGGGGGACGGGACGACCCCGGGAGGGCGATCAGGGCTGGGGGCGGACCGGTGGGGGACCGGACTTGGACCTGACAGATAAAGTCAAATCCTGGGTTAAGGAGAGGCTGTAATCCTGTTAAAAAACCAAATTCAACTCGTAGGTTTTAAAGATCACATTGGTTTTTTCCAACGAGTGTTTTCCCACGAATGTTTATTCATGAATCGGGCAGCTGGAAGGAGCCTGGAGGAGCGGTAGGAAATGAAAGGCTCTCGCAGGCAGAAGGGAGCGGGAACAAGGAAGTTATGTTAGCAGAAAGTGCATTATTTGTGGCAAGGTCAGGTCCATCAGGCGGATGACCTCGCTACTGCTGGCCAGGTAATTCCTGATTGACTGGTTTCAGATTGCATTCCTGGGAGAGGCAGAAACTGCAGTCGTCTCAGTTTGGTGGCGTGTGGCTTAGCATAAGTGACTCCATTTCTGCATCTGAGCTCTCGTTCCGACGGGCGGGGGTCGGGCCTGCGGGGCGCGCGGAGGCCGAGAGCGTCTGGGAAGGAGGGGGCGATGGTGCGCAGGGGTCAGGCGGTGGAGACGAAGCATCCGAGCTCAGTGAGCACACTTTCCTGCCGGAGAGGGACCGCAGGGGCGGGAGGAGGGACGCGCCCGGGGCAGGGGCTCCGCGGGAGGGGGCGCTGTGGCCGGAGGACCCGCAGGAGCTGGGCGGCGTTTGTCTGGAGTGGACGGAGCAGGAGGCCGGGTGTGGGGCTGATGGCAGGTCCCCGAGAGCAGCCCGTCCTCGGAGGGGCCGTCTGCGGAGGAGAGGCTGAAGCCGCGTGGCCGACACGCGTTGGTTCTGCTCGTCGGTGGGGACGAGCGGATCGATTAATCTTTGAACAGACACAGAATGCAGATTTAGAGGGCTCCCTCTGGCTGTGTCATAGTTACAACCTGTCTGTGAGTCTTAGGTGGGGGGTTCCATTCACCTTTGATGGATGTTTTCCGATGGCTCCGGGAGGATTCAGCGTTGCCACCTGACCCCGTGGGCTCCCCCTCTGTGATCTCCAGCACCCACAGTTTCTCCCGTTCCTGCCTCAGCTCCAGCAGCGGTGAAGGGACTGGACCCGTTTTCCCTCCTTTCTTCCTTGTCGTGTGGGCGTCAGGGGTCAGGTCTCTGCCCTGTTCTGCTGACTTGTGTTGTTCTGAGACTGAACCAGAGACACCGCTGGGGACAGTGTGTCCGTGCAGAGCGCGTCCTCTCTTCCAGGAGAACTGCGGGGACAGTGCACGCGGTTCCTCTCCTTCCTGTGGGCGGTGGAGTCACGGGGTAAAGAGGTTCATGAAAATCGTACAGAAACTGCCATGCAGGGGGCAGTTTGTGACACTGTGATCCTGTCAATAGCTGGTCGTCAGAGGTTAATGCAGATTCTGTGACATGTGACCTGTGACCAAGACGTGTTGAGTGCTGATTCCTTGACTTAGAGTTTGTCGTCATGAGGACGATAGTGACCTCGTGTCTGTTCTCTGAGAGGGATGAGCAGTGACCAGTTACTTAAACCATAAAGTGCCCTGGAGCTTCCCTCCCCTGCTTTGTCCTTGACGCAGGGGAGCAGTGACTCTGCGGTTCCCGTTCACACTGTCGACGAAAATATTTTCATCTATAAATGAAAATTTGGGTGAGTTTATTCTGAGCTTAAGTCTGAGGATTATAACCCGGGGCCTTTCTTCCAGAAGGAAGAAAGGGCACCAAAGAAGTGGGGTGCACAGAGTGGTTGTGTACCCCCAGAGAGGATGTTTCACATAGGATTGAAATGTCCCTTTTACAATAGTCGCGAGACTGCTCTGTGGGCACAGCGATTGATGGAAACAGCAGGTAGGCCTTCTGTCTCAGTGAACGCAGCAGGGTGGCAGGTCTGTTGTCTCCAGCTGAGTGGTCACAGGTGAGCTGGGTGGTCAAAGGTGAGTGCAGCAATCAGTTCCTAGCCTAAGGAAAGATGCTGATCCCTAAGGAAATGCTAACGTGGGGGAAGTTGCACCTTTATCTCAAGGGCCTTTGTTCTGGCCATAGCAAGTGTCTAAGCAGATATACAACGTGTGCTCAACAGCCACAGTCAGGCCCTTTTGGAAAAAACAAAGTCAGGCCAAATTAGGTTTATACCCAATGGCTTCCTCGTATACTCCAATATATCCTATGGCTTGCCATTTTTATTTGTCAACACACTGGGACGGGGTCTCGGTCCTATATGAATGACCCATGGTGCTGGGAGCAGGTGCGTGTCCTAGGCTGGGGACACGCTGGCCTAAAGCTGGGCCTGCGTGGGAGGGGACGGAGGGTGCAGCGGGCTGTCCCCCTGCGGTGACTCCAGCCCCAGACCCAGGGCGGGAGGAGCTGCAGATGCTGAGAGGAGCCACAGAGCAGGGTGGGGAGATGCCCCTGCGGGTGTGCTGGGGGCGTGGGGCAGCCCTGGGGCTGCTTCCTGGGCATCGCGCATGGAGTGGGTGAAGCTGAGTGTGCTTCGAGCTGAGTGTGCCGTGCGCTGAGTGAGTCTGTGAAGGTCACACGTGGGGCGGGCTCCCGGGGGTCCCTGCTGGTGAGAGGGTCTGTGAAAGGAGCGTCTATACGGGATGGAGCGGGAGCTGGGAGCGGCTCCTCTTTGCTGAGAAGGAGGCCCGGGAGGAGGGGCGCGTCCGCCCTGAGGAGGGAGCCGGGCTGAGCGCAGCCTCGGGTTCTGTCCCTCCCGCCCTGGGAGGGGCCGCCTGCCCACCTCCCCGCAGGGGGACCCCGCCCAGCTCAGGACCAGGTTCCACCTCCTGCCTTCCGTGTCCTTGTCGCTGTGGAGCAGGTGCTGCTCTGCGCTGGCTCCCACCGCGCTGCTCCTCCCGGTGTGTCCTTGACGGGGTCTGCGCCCTGTGACCCCAGGGCGCCCGAGCACTTGGACTTTTGTTCTGTCACGTGAAGGTGTAAGGCTTTTTTCTTGGTTGGGTGGTGGCATCTCCCAGCGTGCTGCCCCCCGCCCCCCTCCCCCCCCCCGGGTGACCACCGTCCTGCTTCTTTGTGTTTCTCTTTGTGGCTTTCCGTCTGTTCTCCATCACCAAGCAGGGCTCTGTGTGGTTCTGCCTCTGCTGAATTTGCAGGGAGTGAATGTCACCAGGATACAGCATCCATGTCACACGGAAGGCCGCTCTGTGCTTTCTCAGCCCCAGTGTGTCACACGTGCTGGCGTCTGAGGCTGGGCTCACCCGGTTCCTCATCCACTCCACTCCTTGCAGGGCCTGGCTCGTCTCAAGTTTTTTTCTTCTGTTGGCAGTGCGGCTGCAGGCATCTCTGTTGTTATCTCCAAGTGCAAATGGGTCATCAATGTTTCACATGTTGGGGAAAAATTGCAGAGTTGTAGATTATGGGTAAGTCCCAGTTTCCTAGGAAATGCTGGTGAAGGAGTGTCGGGATCAAGTGTCTGACTGTCACACGTGTGTTTATTCCGCGTCATTTCCAGCACTTGGAGTTCACTAAGTTGTCCATCTCGAGTGTGTGAAACGGGGTCTCCTGGGGTTCCAAATTGGTCTGAACTGATTCCCGTTGGGGATGAGCATGTCTCAGGTGGCAGCTCATCTTCTGTCAGAAGGATTTCAGACATTTTCTCACCTCTCATTCATTTGTGTGTTTACTCATTTCTCACGTTTTCTCTCCATGGTCTGGACAGTCACCCTTTTTCATTTCTAGGTGTTGCAAGTATCTCCTCCCAGGTTGTGGTTTATCATCTCTCTGTCTACTCTACTCTGCACTTAGATGGACGCTTCTTAATTGAACAGACTCGGCTTTCTCAGTCTCTTCCTTGTAGCTGACTGTTTTTTTCTTCTATAAGAATAGTCTCCCAACTCTGAAGTCATAAATTCATTTACCCGTCACTTCTTCTCAGCGTCCTCCTCTCGTCTCCCACAGTTAAATCTGCAGCGAGCTGGTTATTGTCCGTGAGGTTGAGCAGGAAAACGGTTCCTTATTCGCCTGTAGATCACCAGTCGTCACTGCCCCACGTGTCACCGTGTCCCCATCTCTCCACCGCCCGGCAGCGCCTGCTCTGGGGCAGGTCCACGTGCCGACATCGGGGGCCTGTTTCAGGGCGTCCGTTGTCTCCATTGGTGTCCTTGTCCGTCCCTCTGGTCGCCATCCTGTCCTGACCCTTGGAGTTTAAAAGGCTTGGAGGTCTGTTAGGGAAATTCCCATCTTCTTCTATAGGAAATGTCAGCTAGTCTTAGAATTTGTGTGTCGTTTCAGTTTTTACAGGTAGTTTTTCTTAAATTCAAACAAAACAAAACAAACTCAAAACGAATCCCAAAGCAAGCCTTGTTGTAGATTTAATGGAATTTTCCTACAACTCCTGACCTCTTTGGGAGCACTGACGTCGAGGTCTCCTTCCCGAGGACACGCGCCGGCTGTCCATTTCTCACTGCACTCTGGTGTCATTTCATGGCCTTTTGAAATATTTCCATTAAATCCTTTGATATCCTTCATTAGACCTATTTTAGGCCTTAAAGAAAATTAATTTTAATAGCAATTTAAAAAGGCTATTTTAGGAATTTAGTTTTCAGTGTTGATTCTAATGATTGAGAATACTTTGACGTTTATTCTCATGAGTTTGCATTCTAGAAACTTAGTAAAAATCTGGTTCTGTGATTATCTTCCTCGTGTTTTGGGTGTGACACACAATCACGTAAGCTGTGAATAAAGGCAAATGTTTCCTTCTGTTACAATATTTTTTCTTGATTAGTTTCACCGTTAGTTTCCTCTATTAATGATTTTAAAAAGCAAGCATCTACCTCTGTTCAGCGTTGGAGAGATTTCTGTGTCTGTCGTTACCAAGAGCCCA